GAAGAACTAATCGCCTTTGAAGTCACAAATAATTTCATCAGATTTTACACTCTGATGTACAATTCACGAGTGTGGGCTAAAAACACATCATTTATTACCTACATTTACAAAATCCTAGCCTGCGCTAAGGGCTCCTCTGACTCCATGAAACAGGAGTCCTACAATTAAATTAGAAACAAATGCCCCTTCCCTCCTTCACACCCCAGCACTCTACAGGGACAGAGGCGGAGGAGTCAGTGATTCAAGCCAAATTTCCTCCACTTATAAAACCGCGGAAGCAACCTACATCTTCAAAGGGCGGTAGCTTGCACACCTCTTGGGGGCCTGCACAGATGAGCCACATAGAAGAGCATCACTGGGCAGTCTAGGACTGGACACTCTGTTTGGAAGGGCGATTTAACTAATGTGAAAAAGTATTCAGAACACAGGGTTAAGTTAAAAATAAATAAATAAAAACCTCGGGTGCCTGGTTGGCTCTGTCGATGGAGCATGTGACTCTTGATCTTGGGGCTGTAAATTCGAGCTCAAATGTGGGCACAGAGCTTACATAAAAGGGGAGGGAGGAGCCTGGGTGGCTCAGTGGGTTGGGCATCTGACTTCAGCTCAGGTGATGATCTCATGATCCATGAGTTCAAGCTCACATCGGGCTTGCTGCTGTCAGGGCAGAACCTGCTCAGATCCTCTGTCTCCCTTTCTCTCTGCCACTACCCTGCTCATGCTCGCTCTCTCTCAAAAATAAATAACACATGAGAAGGGAAGAGAGGAGAGAGAGGGGAGGGGTGGGGAGGGGAGAGAAAAAAAATAAGAACTCAAAAGTGTCTACAACAGATACTGCAAACCAAGTAGTTCATGGAGGTATTTAGGGCAGCATACAGATATTTTACATTTTAAATTTGAGCAAATTATGTAAAAGTTGGAGCAGTCCACATTTAAAAAAATATCTGAGGAGGGACGCCTGGGTGGCTGAGTCGGTTAAGCGTCCAACTTTGGCTCAGGCCATGATCTCACGGTCCGTGGGTTTGAGCCCCACGTCAGGCTCTGTGCTGACTGCCAGCTCAGAGCCTGGAGCCTGCTTCGGATTTTGTGTCTCCCTCTCTCTCTGACCCTCCCCCACTCATTCTTTCTCTCTCTCTCAAAACTGAATGAACTTAAAAAAATAAATAACTAAAATATCTGAGGCTTCTCTTGAACAATGAGAAAGGCAACAGAGCCCACATTCCCACTTGGTGAGAACCAACAGGAAGGCCCCCGGACCCTTCAGAGAAGGCAGACCTCAAGGGCATTTGCACAGGTCAGGTGATGCCCCGTCGGCGTGTAAGGAGGTTTGTAATAATGAAGTGCCACAGGGTACCGTGCAGCAGCAGGGAAGAGCTGGGGGGGGGGGGTGCACACAGGCACCAGGCGTGGGGCGCGAGGGCACACGGGTCTCCAGCGTGGGTCGCAAGGTCACACGGGCACCAGGCGTGGTTCAAGAGGGCACACGAGCACCAGGCGTGGGGCGCGAAGTCCTGAGGGCGCCGCGCTGTTTCTGCTCTGTGTCATTCCTCCCAGTGACCACACTTCCTAAACCTGTTCCCATACCTTCCTGAGCCCTGAAGCATCTGTTTTTCAGCTTAATAGTCGAAACCTAAACCAACACAGAGAAAGTCCCAGAAGGCAGCTCTTCCTGCCCAGGGGTCCTGGGCCTGTGCTTTAATAAAATCATCATTTTGCACCAAAAAAAAAAACAAACAAACCTGGAAACAGTACCTATGGGCTGATCGGGAAGTGAGGTGGTCTGTGACTTTAGTTTTATAAATAACAAGTATCGTGTGACAAGGCTGTAGAGTTGTGACAAGAAGAGAGTTTACGGAACGGTTTCCCTTCTCACCCCCTAGCAGGGCTACGAGACCAAAGGACGGTTAATTCAGAGGCTGGTGACAGTCAGGTGCTAAGACTCTTGGCCGAATACATATTCATGGCTTATGTCCTGCAAGCAAATATTGCCAAAGGCACTGATTCTGGCCATGACGTCTAGATCAAGGGGAAAGCAGGAAAATCACAGAGCATTGAAACCACTTTGATCCGGGGTCAGGACACCGCGGGCGAAAGGCTCCTGGCTGAGCAAAGGACTCCTCAGAAAACGAAATTGAGTTCTGTAGATTACAGACACCCGACTTGGAGCTCCTCGACACACCCCCGAAACAAAAGGCAAGTTTCTAAATTCTCATAGAAGTTTTAGTTAATGACTTATTTCAGTGCGTAGGTTTAATGCTGCTGGTGAAAAATTTTTTATTGCTAAAACTAATACGGCTTTTCTGTCTTATGACAAGTTTTTTTTTTTTTTTTAACACAACCTTGGATAAATCACAATCTCATCTCAGTGATACTCAATGACTCAAAACCTCAATGACTGTGGGGTATTTCAAGATTCCACTTCTACTAAATGCTATTGTCACTGCTGACAGCAGAGGGCAGTAGGGCGCAGTGAAGAGAAAACGGATGTAGAATCAGGATCTAGCTGTGGGAACAGGCTGCTCCCTCCTCTCCACAGAGACCTGTTTCACTCCCTGTAAACTGAATGGGGAGGCTAAGTTTTTTCTAACCTGGTCTATAATAGAGGTTGGCAAAAGGACCCATGGATCAAATCTGGCGAACCACCTCCTCTCATATTGCACACAAGGGTATTTGCCATTTGTAAATATTGGAAAACTCCTAAAGGGTTACTACAGTTCATGAAACATACAAATTGTATGAAATTCAAATTTCAATGTCACAGCCATGTACTGCCTATGGCTGTGTCATTAACACAACGACAGTGTTGAATAGATGCACAGTAGTGAGGGAGACCCACAAAGCCCAAAATATTTACTGTCTGGCTCCTTACAGAAAATTGGTTAAGATTACAGCAATGTGGGGGATCACCTTCTCGATGCATAGTACTCACTGGCTGTCTGACTCATAATCCCCAAAATGATCTGAGCACCTACTGGCAAAGGAATCATATTTTAGAAAAAAGGACTTTAAGGGGCACCTGGGTGGCTAAGTCAGTTAAGTGTCCAACTCCTGAGTTTGGCTCAGGTCATGATCTCGGTTTGTGGGATCCAGCCCCATGTCAGGCTCCACGCACGAAGCCTGCTTGGGATTCTTTCTTTCTCTCTTTCTCTCTCTCTCCCTTTCTGCCCCTCCCCTGCTACTCCCCTGCTTACACTCTCTCAAAAATAAACATTTAAAAATATACATTAAAGGGGCGCCTGGGTGGCTCAGTCGGTTAAGCGTCCGACTTCGGCTCCGGTCATGATCTCACGGTTCGCGAGTTCGAGCCCCGCATCAGGCTCTGTGCTGACAGCTCAGAGCCTGGAGCCTGTCTTTGGATTCCGTGTCTCCCTCTCTCTCTGACCCTCCCCTGCTCACGCTGTCTCGCTCTCTCTCTCAAAAATAAGTAAAACATTAAAAATTTTTTAAAAATTAAAAAATTAAAAAAAAAAGAGTTCTTTCATAAAGGAAGGAAAGGAGGGAGGGGTGAAGGGAGGAGGAAAGGGGAGGGACAGGGTCTGCAGGGCTGTCTAAGGTGAAACAGAACATTGGCCAGAAGCTTAGGACTGATGGCCAACCTGGAGGTGTGCTTTATTCATTCTGGAAAATATTCTAAGACATTTTGAGCTGACCTTTAATAATTGGGGGTTTTATATAAAAATACAAATTTCCAACTTCTCTGGAATAACAGTAAGATCTGGAAACCATGAGCCCACAATCCTGCAGGGCAACCACGGGCTGAGGCTCTGGAGATGGGCGTGTGCCCAGGGGTTCACCAGGCCCTGCCCCTCGACGGTCTGTCTCCCCAGCCCAGGGACTGCCTTTTACCATCAGGCTAGGTGTAGAAGGCTCTCTGTGGCCACGTCTCCGAGAAGACCAACAAAGGCCACGTTTCAAGAAAAATGAGTGGCGCCCAGGTGGATCGGTCGCTTAAGCGTCTGACTTTGGTTCAGGTCATGATCTCACGGTTTGTGGGTTCGAGCCCCATGTCAGGCTCTGTGCTAACAGCACCTCCCCCACTCATGCCCTGTCTCTCTCTCTCTCTCTCAAAACGAAAACATAAAAAAAGAAAAATGGGAGTAAACCTGTTTCCTTGCGGAAGTAATAAAGCTCTTAAGTATGTTAACAGGCAACTAGATAATATTTGGGTACCTAAAACTCAATTTAGGTCACCGTTCCTTTCTTCACACTGGCCCAGCACCCCTCGCTTACATCCGCTCTCCAAATCCGTGTGGGCATTGGCTGAGCAGCCACCATAGGAAATGATGCAGCAGCCAAGAGCTCTGTACTGCTCAATATTCCAGGCCCTGTTCAGACCCTGTGTGGACACGTCTTCATTTAACCCTCAACAGGAACCTACAGGGAAGGTCGGTTCTGAGGTCACATCACAGATGAGGAAACTGACACATCACAGTAAGTACTGGCCTAAAGCCTTGTGGCTCAGGAGCGGCAGAGCTGGGATTTGAGACTGGCAGCCTCATGCTTACCCACTATGCGACAGCAAGTGTCAATCAGGGCAAATTCTAAGGAGTGCTCCGGGGAGAGGACACATTATTGCTGACCTTACCCCAAGCTCTAACATTGGAGCACGAAGTAATGTGAAAGGTATACTTTGGTAAGAAAAATGGTCTTTCAATTAAAAGAACATTCTTGATAAACAAACTATTCTGGAAGTTTTGCTGTGATAACCCAAGAGGCATCTAATCTTCACTCTGAAGGTCCTCTGGCCCCCTCTGCCTGCTGCAAGGAATGCCCTCCCATCTGGCCTTTGGGGACCAAGGTTCTCCTCTCTTGATTGTTAACAGCATAAATCCCACAGTCTTATCCACTGGAAATTTTAGGTTTGCTCCACTGCAGCGAAACCCCAGGAGCGCCTTTCAATTCCGTGGCGCTGGCCATCTAAAACCCAGCTGGTGTGGGCCCAACGGAAGCCCCGTGTCCCAGGGGACACCGTGCCCCCCACCCCATCCCCGCCGGAGGCTGACCTGTGCTCTTGTCCAGGAAGTCCATGGACTCCTCACTGGCGCTGAAGTGGCTCGATGTGGCCTTCTTCTCGGCGTCCTGCTCCACATCGGAGCCCGTGTGCACCGAAGAGTTTGTACTCATGGGGGAGCGCGGCATGTCTGACAGGGAGATGCGACGGCCGGTGCCCCCGCTCAGCATCGGCTTGCTCATCAGGATCTTGGGCGACGCCGTCATGTCGAAGTTGAGCTTGACCTTCTCCTGCTTGTCGATCTTGGCGGCGCCGGCGCTGGGATTGCTGGGGTCGAGCAGCATTTGGTACTGGCTGTTGGGGGTGTAGGGCGTCCTGAAGGGAGAGTAGTTAAAGACCCCGAACTTCCTGCGAATGTTCTCCACGTACACCTCCATCTCTTGCATTGCACTGTTGAAGATGCTTTTCGTCTTTTTCACAGAAAAAGGAATTTCTTTAGACATGAGGTAGCAATTATTTATTGGAACCCAGGCCCTAGGAAGTGCAGAAGAGAGAGCAGAAGTCAACTTTGGTCCTTTCAGAGATTCCTTTTTTTTTTTTTTTTTTTTAAGTTTGTTACAAATCTATTTCACTGCGTTAAATGTACAACACACTATTGGTAAGCACAGGCACAGACCGTAAGGCAGACCTCAACTGCTTATTCATCAGAACAGAAATTTTATGCCCAATGATCCTACCACCGTTCTACTCTCTGATTCCCTATTTGACTATTTTATGAAACACCTCCACAAAGCGGAATTCACGCAGAAGTATTTGTCTTTCTGTGACTGGCTGATCTCACTTAGCATGACGACCTCCAAGTTGAGCTATGTTGTCGCATCTTTTTTAAGGCTAAATACTATCCCACATGTATCTACCACAATTTCTTTATCTGTTCATCTGCCCATGGACATTCAGGGCGTCTCCAGAATGGTTTTTTCCTTAATGCCAACCAAATTAGCCTGGTTTGTTTGCCAAGGTTCTTAAATACATACTCTATTCTTTAAAACTGCCTTGGGGTGCACTTGGGTGGCTCAGTCAGTTAAGTGTCCAACTTGGCCTCCGGTCACGATCTCGCAGTTTGTGGGTTTGAGCCCTGTGTTAAGCTCCATGCTGACAGCTCAGAGCCTGGAGCCTGCTTCGGATTCTGTGTCTCCCTCTCTCTCTGCCCCTCCCCTGCTCATACTCTGTGTGTTTCTGTCTCTCTCTCTCTCTCTCTCTCTCTGTGAAAGAAACATACGTACATACATAAGACTTGGTTTGGGGGCTCCTGGGTGGCTCAGTAGGTTAGACGTCTGACTTGATTTTGACTCAGGTAATGATCCCAGGATCGTGGGATTGAGCCCCAGGTTGAGTTCCATGCTGAGCGTGGAGCCTGCTTAGGATTCTCGCTCTCCCTCTCCCTCTGCCCTTCCCCCGCTCATTCACTTGCTCTCTCTCAATAAAATTTTTTTGTTTATTATCTCTTTTGAGACAGAAAGAGAGAGCACAAGCAGAGAAGTGAGGGGCAAAGAGAGAGGGAGACAGAATCCCAAGCAGACCCCGCATGGTCCGCACGGAGCCCAACTCAGAGCGCAAACATATGAACCATGAGATCATGACATAGGCTGAAATAGAGAGTCAGAGGCTTGACCAACAGAGCCACCCAGGGGGCCCTAGCCAAAAGAATTTTTAAATCACTCAGTTTGAATGGTTAATACGTGATTAGCCATTAGCACTTAATAGATATGTTCTTATGATAGAACATAAAGAGCAAACTTCAAACTTCACTAAAACATTAAAAAGCTAATGGACTTAGTCACTTTAATCCATTACAAGCATAATAAATCCCCTCTTGGCTCTGGGTGGGTAGAGAGTAAGCAAACAGCCCGGCTTCCAGGACCACACCTCCAAACAGAGAAGTGGTCCCAAGCCCAACTCTGTGCTCAGACACCAGATTTCGCATCTCTCGTAACCTGGGGTTCTCCGAGGCACTAGAAGGAAACCCTGGAAAACCGTAAACCTACAAGGAGGTGCATGACTTTGAATGTGAGAGAATTCACGTGGAAACTGTCCAAAGAACAGCCTCCACCCCCCACCCCCATTCTCGGGTGGTTCTGCCTTCCTCCCTTCCACCCCCCACATCCCAGCATGCCCTGCAGAGATCTCACAAGAACACGAGCTGCTTTTCTGGAATTCATGGCCAAGCGGCTGCAGGCAGGAGGAGGCTGTCTAACCTGCCACCACTCGGGGTCCGAGGCACAGCCCATACGCGGACAGAAAGATGGACCACGTGCCACTGGATTCCCCAGCTGCCATCCCATTTGTGGCTGGGAATCCAGTGGGAACGAACATTTCCAAGGAGGCCTTTTGGACTTCAAATACCATAAAGTCAAGCCAAACACAAAGCAACAGGGAGCAGAGTGGACAGTGGGGACGCGAAGCGCCGCAGCGAGTCCAACGCGAGCATTGTCCACATGGGGGCATCGCAAGCGCTGCGACGGGCCCCACGCTGCCCCGTCTTCCAGTGTTTTAAAGAGAAGCAAGAAATGTGGACCACTCAGATTACAGTTTACCCACATTTCTAACGCTGGAATCTCCTTCCTGTTTTGAAGACAAAGTGGCCCGGAGAAATAAAGCGTGTGCGTGGGGTGAAATCCAGGGCACAGGATGGAGGTTTGCAACTCGTGGTGATAATGGGGTCGTGACACAAGCTAAAACCGAACACCCCAAAAATATCTAACTGCTCTCTCAGCGTGCTGTAAATCACCGGCTTCCGATCCACCGCAACTAGCGGCTGTCATCCTGCAGACACCTGAGGGATCACAGCTGCGGCCAGACCGAACAGGGCAGGAGGCAGGTGCCCTCTGGGTGAGAGTCTGCAGCTAAAACACCTGGGTGAGCGGACGTCTGGACTACACAGGACAGATCTGAGGAGCGGCCGGGGTCCCCCAGCTGCCCCCGACAAAGGGCTTCCCTTTCCCTAAGCTGGCCTCAGCTCTACATCGATAAAATGGAGGCTGAGCCCCTCCCTGGAGGAAGGTCAAAGGGAGCAAATGAAATGTACCTAGACCAGTCCCCGCAGTACCAGGACCTCACCAGCCAGCTGGCCTCTGGCCACTGTCATTGTGTCCCCCCCATTCTGTCTAGGGTGGGACCTTAACTGTCTTCTGCCAGGGTCTGAAGCGCCTTCAATGAAGGTGCCTGCCAAGGGAGTTCAGCAATGTATTTCCTTCCTTCTAACAGGCCCAGGACACAGTTAAAGAGAAACTACATTTGCTTAACAAAAGAGAGTCTCTGGAGCCAGTGTCCTGACAGGCCACAGAGTCACACGGCTGAGCTACTCCCTACTCTGGGCCTCAAGGTTTCTTCTCAAGTCAAATGGGAATAAATCAGCTTCTGCAAAAAGCACTGAAAACAGCGCCCGCTGCATAAAAAGCACTCAATTCTGGCCAGCTCACTCTTCTGTAGCTCTGAAGGCATTTCGTTAAATATCTCCTGGATTTTCATACAGCATCGTGTGTAGGTGTCTGTGAAATCCAATCCCAAGAAGGCAAAAATGTTTCAAGGACAAAAAGCATACTAAGAGACTCTCCAGAACATGCCTTGATCTGTACAAGAGCCGCCCCGGGCTTGCTCCAGCATTTATTAACTTAACGATGAACACGTGACAGGCTGTGACATTTCTTACTCTGCTCTCCTGACCTATTTTGCTTACACAGGACCAGGCTGAGGTTTTGCTCCACAAGCCCAGAGCTGCTCCCTGAGAAAGAGACAGCCTATCCATTCTCTGTAGCCTCTGCAACGAGCTGCTGGGTGTGACCAGTTTCCGCTTTAAGAACATCTCCTGGGAGGGAGGGATGCTCTTCCTTTTAGGTTTCCCCCAAGCTCTCAGTGACTTCATCCCTGCACCACCCAATCCATCCCGACAGAGTGGCCTCAATCACTGCCCCCAAGGGGCTCCCCTCACTCAAAATGAGGCAACAGCTGGGCACATTCCCTCCGAAAGAGAGCAAAAGACACAGCAGGGGTCAGGCAAAGCTCACGAACACCCGACGTGGGCTGCTGGCTTTTTTCACCAACACGGGGGGCCCGCTTCCACGACAGCCCCTACCCTGAACCAACCTACGCCAGCCAGTTCTGGGGAAATGGCCTCAGAAACAGGGCTGGCAGAGCTCATGCCCCACCCCACCCCAAGCCACCATCCAGAACTGACAGGCAGGAGTAAGATGTCCGTGCAGAGTGGGCTCAGCGGAGAGCAATATCAAAGACTCTAAGAGTCTGGTGCGTGACGGCAGGCACCGGCCTCCCCCACCCGCCTATATCCTAAGTATAACACGGGTTATATTACAGACGAGAATAATCCCAAATCATCAAGAGTGTTAACACTTGCCATGCTATCATGACGTACAACCAGACACGCATTCTTCTTACTCTTCGCATTCCTCTTACTCTTCGAAAAAAAGGCCAACCCTGACCACAGCCCTGTGATCCAGACCCTGCCCCCTACCCCCCCATCTCTTACCACCCTCCTCCTCCCCGCTCCTGTCCAAACCACACCGTGCTCCTGGCCTTCCCCAAGCACAGCAGGCTGGCTCTCCCTGGCCCTCCACCCAGATCTCCTCTGAGCCCCCACCCTGAGACCACCTTGCCTGCTACTCGGTATTATCTGTCTTCCCCACTAGGATGCCGGCCTTCAGATGGGCAGGGACAACGTCCGCTGGCTCACTCCCATACAACAGCATCCAGCACGGGGCCGGAACCACGGCAGCACCAAAAGATTTCCAGCAAAGAGGTCAAAATCAAATAAAGCAAACTATTTCCTATCGGTTTGATAAGGACTATCACAGCTAATTTCCACTCTGCCTCCAGACAACGGATTTCCAGTAAATGATTTCACAGCTTACTTTACCATTCAGTCTTCTGTTTCCTTCGCAAGGCAACAAGCAAAGTGAACAGAGTAATAGTTCCGATTCTGGTGTTTGGAATTACAAACTGCATTTTCTGTATATTCTGAGGGTGTGATAATTTTTAGAATACATTTAAAAAAAATTTTTTTTTAAGTTTATTTATTTATTTTGAGAGAGAGCACAAGCTGGGGAAGAGCAAAGAAAGGGAGACAGAATCCCAAGCAGGCCCCACGTTGGCAGCAGAGCCCCAGTGCAAGACTCGAACTCATGAACTAGGAGAGCGTGACCTGAGCTGAAATCAGGAGTCAGATGCTTAACCGGCAGAGCCACCCAGGGGCCCCTAGAATCTGTGTTTTCAGTATTCTCCCCAACACACTCACTTTTTCAAACTGCTTGGTAGCACTTTGCTGCCTCATTGAATCCTCACATGACTTGCTAAAAAAGAGAACTAAGGTATTAACCACCGCTCACCTGGGTCTACTTGCTGTTCTCAAGCCCGTAGGATAGGGAACCGCTAAGAGCTAGAACAATTCATGTCCCTGTGAGCGAAGGAGAGGGGAGCACAGAAAGGCTGGGTGCGGGGAGGGCTCACACCTGTTAACAACAGCCACCTCTTAACAGTTTCCTATTTGGCTTCAGAGAAAAGGCAACGGGAGGGAACCACCCAGCACAATGACAAGAGATTCATTTACTGGCAATCCGAGGAAATGCTTCTGATCCCTGAAAGCGTTATTTCGAAGAGCAATTTGCACGGTGGTTTAATTTACTCTGCAAAATCTAAAAGGAACAGCCCCGCTTAAAATAGCAGTGGAACCTATTCCCGTGCCAGTTTCGTCAACAAAACTACGGAAGCCTGATTCTTCTCAACGTACCTGAAACAATGGGAACCCACACACATTCTCAGGCTTAACGCAGCACAGGACAGGATTTTTAACCTCAAGATCCCCGACTGGTGTCATGACGATAAACAACATAATAACCCCTCCGCCCCTGCTCGCGGCCACGATACAGTCATCAAAGGTTCAGTTACAGCTACCCGTCTGCAGCCCGGTTTAACGCCCACCTGTCATGTTGTCCAAAGAAACGGGCATCAACCTGCCCGTCTTTGTCCCTCAGAGCTTTTGCAGGCCAGAATGGAAACCCCTTCAGTTTTGCCCAGACCAAAGGATGTGGATTGCTCTGGGAAAAGAGAAACAAAACCAGAGTTTGTATGCACGTGACAGAAAGGCACACAATACACACAGATTGCTATATGCAAACACAGCGAGGCCACCGGCTACGCGAGACCGCTTCCAGGCAGGGTCTCCCAAAGGGGCTTCCCTAGGAGCGCGTGAGCCCAGGAAGCCCCAGGCGAAGCTGGTTCTGGGGGTGAACGTCGAAATAGGGAAGAACCAACCACAGACCAGATCAGGCTTGGACCCTGGCCACATTGCTCATTACCGAGGTGGCCGTGAGCAAGTGCCCCCCTTTCCCTGTAACAAGGAGACAGCAAGGTCTACACCCTCTGTTAAGTTGGAGGATTAAATGTGCATTATAACTAGCACGTCATAAGGGCAGTATTAGCCACCTTCGTTCTTTCTCGAGGGCTGCACAGAGCCTTAACTGTTCAGGTGTTTAATCCCCAAAGGCAGCAAGACAGGTAAACTATGTTTGACTTTTCCACTTTACTTACCCAATCTCGTCCCCCCATGCCCCCCCCATGAGCTCCAGCCCTGCCTCCACCCCCCGACCGACCAGCCCACCCCAAGAACTCCCTTCTCTCTGCACATCACTGGCTTGGAAACTGCAGATCCATGAGGAAAACAGGGTGATTTTCCTCTTCCCATGCCTCACCCCAAACCACCACTTGGGAGAGACCATAGCGTCAATCCAGAGAGGGCTTTCCAATTGTCTCAAAACAGATTCGTCAAAGAATACACTTCTTCATGACTCTCATCCCCTTATTCCACACTACCCTGGGGCACCCACTCCCTGATGAACTCCATTCTATGGTCTACCCTGCAGTCTGCTCTAGGGCTAATAAACCCAGGAAGTCACAGTGCTCCCTCTGGCACATCAATTTCAGCCCCAGAGGCTTTTTCCACCTGGGTTCCTTTCACTCTGCCATAACATCGTCGTTTAAAAAAAAAAAAAATCTTCTCCCAAAGTTTCATCGAATAAGGCACTTGGAGAAGGTGGCCTTGGGTGGTCATGTAAGGCATCAGTTCCAAAAAGGAAGTAAGGAAAGGAAATGCAACTTACACAAGGCTCACAAAACCAGTTATCTCGTTTTTGGCAAGCAGCTAGGTAACACTCCGGACATACTTCAATTTCATTCATCTGTAAAACAAAAGTATGTTAGGATGTATCACCCAGGGAACTCACACCTGGACGCCCCTGAGAAATGCGTGAGGATATTAGCAGTTAAGATTAACTAAGACAAGCCCCACGGTGGGGACCACCTCAGAGCAGGATCCAAGTACCTCTCATCAACCCCCAAGCTCCCTGCACCCAGCCCAAGCCACCACCAGCTCTCTCCGGGCCACCTCTGGACCAGCTTCCACCCTTGTTCCCACCGCGGTCTACCCCACAGCAGCCAGATCTTGTACATCTTGTACATCTGACAGGTGGTTGTGGCAAATGGCACCTAGGAGGTAAGGGACAGTCCCTGGGGCAAAGGATTCTCCAGAGGAAATGTTAGTCGTACAAGGCTGAGAAACTAACAAGGAAATCTAAACTCCAGATTAGCTCCTCCTTCAACACCGAGTGTGACCAGGCCCCAGCCCGCCTGCCTCTGCCCCCCAAACACCTCCAGCCACCCTGGCTTCTGCTCGCTGTGCTCAATTCTCACCCAGCGGCAGTCACACTGACCAGGGCAGGTGCTACTTTTATCTAAACCGGCAACAATCTCAAAATTATGTCATTTATCGACCTCTGAAAAAGTACATTCACCCAGGGACCTAAGTACGTACCTAAGTACGACTTAGAACCCAGAAGCCCCCCCCTTCTTGGATCTCAGTTCAGGCTCCAGCATTTACTAGCTCTGTAACTTTAAGAACAGTTGCTTATCTTGTCTGAGCCCCCGTTTCCTCATCTACAGAACGGGGATGTGAGTAGTACCTACCAGGTAACAATTATAGGAGAGAAATGAAAACTGCCTTAGGTGACACAGTGATCGATACCCTGGTTAACATCTGTCAGAGATCTATGCTGGGGTCGTGAAAATGTTCTACGGGTACCAATTCATTCATTCCTCAGTACTAATTCATTCATTCCTCGCACCCTCCAGAGGCAGGCCTGCTATTTCCCCCATACCACAGACGGAAAAAATGAAGCCCCAGGAAGTCAAGAAACCTGCCCAAGGTCTCACTGCAGCAAAGGGGCGGGACCAGGATTTGAACACAGGCAAACGGGCTCCAGAGCTGACATGTTTCATCTGTCACAGCCCTGCTCGGTGCTACTCTCTCCTCACCATCATCACAGACTTGTTTTCCTCTTTATCTCTGAATCATGTAAGGTGCCAGATACTCGGCAAGCATTACTCTAATAACTTTATTATTATAACTGACTAACTCAATGGTCAATGAATAAAGGACTGAATAAAGGAGCAAACAAATAAATGAATGAATGAATGGTGGCATGTACCTCCTGTTCCTAATCACCCTACGTGTGGGCTCCTCCAAAGGTACTGGCGAGAATAAAGGGGTAACTTAAGGTCCAGGGCAGCCTGGCGTTGGAGCCCACAGAGCTGCAATGTATTGCCAACGGGTAGATTTAGAAATCTAGACACAAAGGACCTGCATCCAGAAAATCCCACCTGGAGGTAACCCACCGACTAAACACCTAGGCTTTAGCTCCCAAACCCAGGGAAACAAAGGAACCCCACAGGGAACACAACTGGACAACTCACTCATACAAAACTCCAAACCAACAATGAACAGATAGAAAACGGTCTATCGTCACTTGTCATCAGAAATGTGCAAACCAGGGGCGCCTAGGTGACTCAATCAGTTAAGTGTCCCACGACGGCTCAGGTCATAATCTCACAGTTTGTGGGTTCAAACCCCACGTCGGGCTCTTTGCTAACAGCTAAGGGCCTGGAGCCTAATTTGGATTCTCTCTCCCTCTCTCTCTGAACCTCCCCCTCTCACAATGTCTCTCAAAAATAAATAAAAACTTAAAAAAAAGGAAAAAAAAATTTAAAAAAAACTTAAAAAAAAAGGAAACGTGCAAACCAAAATCACGAGATCCCACTGTTTTACTGATCGCATTGCAGGGAAAATACAGATACACCTATTTTTAAAATTAGAACTTTCAAAATTGGAAATGACACAGAAAAACTACCCAGATTGTTATATATGTTGCTGCAGCTTTCCTAGAAATCAATCAGGAAGGCTACGTAAAGCCTTTGATCTGTGTACAGACTTAGACCTGGTAGATGCCTTTCTAACAATTATACTGAGAAAATCATCCTAACAGCTGCGAAAAATTCGGTTCTTCCTGTGTGTTTAACTACCTGGGAAAACAATCAAAATGAAAGATACTGATTACACAACACTCTCTATAAAAATATTTAGAAAAAGGGGCACCTGGGTGGCTCAGCCGGTTAGACAGCCGACTCTGGATTTCAGCTCAGATCATGATCTCACGGTTCATGAGTTCAAGCCCCGCATCTGGCTTTACACCATGATGGAGCAGATTCTCTACCTCCGTCTCTCTGCCCCTTCCGTGTACAATCTCTCTTTCCCCCAAAATATTTTTTTTTTATTTAAAAAAAATATGTAGAAGGGTGCCTGGGTGGTTCAGTTGTTTAAGCCTCTGACTGCAGCTCAGGTTATAATATCACAATCTGTTGGTTCAGGCCCCGCATCAGGCTCTGTGCTGACAGAGTGGCTCAGTTGGTTAAGTGTCCGACTTCAGCTCAGGTCATAATCTCATGGTCTGTGGATTTGAGCCCCTCATCGGGCTCTGTGCTGACAACCAGCTCAGAGCCTGGAGCCTGCTTCAGATTCTGTGTCTCTCTCTCTCTCTCTCTCTCTGCCCCTCCCCCACTCGTGCTTTTTGTCTCTCTCTCTCAACTAAACATTAAATAAAGATATGCAGAAATGGACATATCCTATGATATCCAAATGTTTTCCTTACGAATGAATGAATGAATGAATGAATGAATCAAGTGCACAACATGTTGAAGTCCATCACAGGTCAGTTTCTCACCCTTACAATGGGGTTGAACAAAGCATCCCTGGTACCACTTCTGCTCCCTGCCTATCCCATAACCACTAGAGCCTCAGGGCAGGCCTAGGAGGTGCGCTTCTTCCACACCATCAAAACCATGGGTATTTCTTTTTTTTTTTTTTTTTTTTTAAATTTTTTTAATGTTTTATTTATTTCTAGGAGAGAGACAGAGAGAGAGAGAGACAGCGTGAGTAGGGGAGGGTCAGAGAGAGAGGGAGTCACAGACTCTGAAACAGGCTCCAGGCTCTGAGCTGGCAGTAAGTACAGAGCCCGACGCGGGGCTCGAACCCACAAATCGCGAGATCATGACCTAAGCGAAAGTCGGACGCTTAACCGACTAAGCCACCCAGGAGCCCCAAAACCATGGGTATTTCTAAGAGGGACTGACTTCCCAGGACTCTGAAGGCCACTCCCTGAGAAACAGTCAAAGCCTTTCCCCCCAAACATGATTAAAACCCAAACATCTTCCCCAAGAAAACTAAAAGGGGTCTGGCGCAATTTGGCCACAGACTGTGGGGTGAAGGAATTGAGACCAATCTACGCAAGCAAGAAAACTCAAGATGCCACAGTCTTGACAGTGACTCAAGCCTGAATAACAAAAGTTCATTTCCACCTCCCTAAGATCACGGCTAAGACAGTGTCGATTTCTAGCATACGCAGCTGGGGCGATCCCGTTGGTCACTTTTACTTTTCCTTGAAGAGAGGGGGCACTGTCTATGCCTCAACAAATTCCAAAACTGCCCCTACTACCCACGAAGGGACTCTGCAATTAGAAATCCACCATGCCAGCCCCTCAATCTGGATGCATTTAAAACAGGACAGTGAGAAACACATACCTCATGCTCACAGATTTTGATGACTACTTTCGCTATCTGTGTCAATTTGTGATTTCCTAAGGGAATAAGAAAATATGATTAATTCAAATGGAAACATGTTTGTAACACCTGGCTTCAGGATTATACTTCCTCTAACAACCTTTCAACTTGCTCTTCCCCCAGGGTTAAGCTTTTAAAGGCTAAAAAAACAGAAGATCCTGGCTACTAACAGCAGTTCGAATTATGTGACTTTTCCCATAAACACTGACCAATCTTTGGTGTTTCAATGTCGTCTCTGAAACTGAACAATTTGTGTGGGATTCCTATAGTTCACAGATGATCATCTGGTAGATGCTTTTATATTCAAAAGGCTCCAATTGGTGGAAAGGAGCCTTAGTCACCCATTGTTCCAGACTCCAGCCCATGAAGGGTAACAGGGGAGAGAAAATAATTGAGTAGCTCTGCTGTGCCTGGTGCGTCGAAATACATTTTCTTATTAACTCAAGAAGCTCTATCAGGAAGCAGGAATGAATGTTCCCATTTCCTTAATGAGTACACCAAGGCTCAGGATTCCTTTACACAAGACTACTTGGCTAATGAGCTGAAAATCTGCCCCAGATCTAACTCTAAATCCCTCACCTTTGCTAAACCAGAAGACAAGATTACCAAAAAGAAAACTATGCTTTCTTCAAACATTATGGTGTCTTCAGAAATTATAAATTTGTTGACAAAAAGATTTTATACACACACACGCACACGCACACACCTACATTTCTGGCTTGCCTTAAAAACTCAAGAGAGCTGCTAACTTTGTCCAGTGGCGATCCCCTCAGACCAGAAAGAAGTTCCCCATTCCCTAGTCTCTACTCTCTGCTTGGCCAATGGCCAACCTGGCTTATGCTAATTTTCTGCCACCTAATCTCATTCACTTTTTAGGTGATCTTACCCAGCCTTTCTATATATTTGAGTTTATAATCTTTACACAGATTTTCAACCAAGCCCCTCTTTGCCTCTTTCTCCCCTCCCCACATGTCTGGCCTGCTACTGAGCTAATAATGTAAAACATGTGCTTTCAGCAGACACCCACCCACTCATACATTTTCCTTTACACATGAGCTAACAATCTACACTAGGACTACAGAGGAAGAAGACAGGGCATCTGCTCTTAAAGATCTTACATCCTTAAGGGGGGAAAAAAAGATCTTACATCCTGGTAAGGAACTCAAACAAATGAGAATAGCACCGTCCAGGAAGTGTGAGAAACGCTACCATGGGGAAGCACAGGTACTGTGACATCTAACAGGAGTACTTTGTATGGTCTGGGTCACAAGGGAAGGCACTTCAGAGAACTGACAGGCTGACACTAAAGGATACAAGAAAGTCATCAAGGCAGAATGTTCTAGCAGAGAATAAGAGGAACAGAATGGAGCAGGACACTGAGAGCTCTACCTGGCCGGAAGGTAGAGAGGACTGTGAGAGAAGGTAGGGTGCCTCGAGAGGAGATTTTAATGGAAATCGTCTTCCATTTGTCCAGAAGATTCAATCCACAAAAACACAACTGACAAAAGTTATCCAGGATACCAAGAACTCCTAAAATGCAGTAATGAAAACACAAACCACCCCATTTTTGAAATGAGCCAAAGATCTGAATACATATTTTACCAAAACATATGCAAATGACTAAGAAGCACATGAAAAGATATGCAACACCATTAGTCATAAGGAAAGGCGAATTAACACCACGGTAACTGTTCATACTTTCAAGAATGACTAAAATTAAAAAGACAGACAATACCAAGTGCCGAAAAGGACACAAAACAACGAAGTCTCTCCCAAACATGGCTAAAAGAGTGTAAAAGATACAACCAGTTTGCAGAAGGTCTGCCGAGATGTCTTGTAAATTTAAATATAAACCTATGAGCAGCACCACCACTCCCTAAATATTTCCCCACGAGAAATCAAAGTGTATTTCCACGCAAAGACCTGTACAAGAATGTCTGCAGTGGCTCAATTCCTAACAGCCCCAAACTGAAAACAACTCAAATATCCTTCAGCATCGACAAAGGGAATGATCAATAAATTGTGGGTTGGTATGACAAAAAAAAAAAAAGCACTCACAGCAACAAAAAGGAACAAAACCACTGAGGCAAACATGCATGAATTCCCCCCCCCCCCAAATTTACACTGCATGAAATTAGTGAGACACAGAAGAGTGCGCTCGATGACTCCGTTTTATATGAAATTCTACACTATGTACAACTAATCTATGAGGACAGAAAGCACAGAGGAAGGTACATTTGCTGGTATGGGGCAAGTAGATATCAACTGCTATCTTCAAATGCACAGTCACCATACCCTACTGAGAAACATTAGCAATCTGTACACAAATGTCCTCAGTTATTGGCTCTGGCACGTAGAAAAAAGAGCAAGATTTTTTAGGAAAAGGTCGGAGAATGGGCAGAACACGCTCCTAGTTAGGAGCCACCTAAGCCACTCACCTCCGTTATAAATGATACAGTTGTGCAAAATCCACTTGGCGTCAGCCAGGAACGCTTCCGTACAACCATACATTTTCTTTTTAGCGTTCTGGGGAGAACAAGCCAAGGAGCATAATAACCCAGGAGTCTATACAGGCCGCAGCCAATTAACACCTGCGTCCCCACGCCATTTTCTTTCTTCTTTCTCCCCTCCCCCGCACATCATTTCCTCAGCAGTCATTTGCCACATTAATGAATGCTTTTACCCATTTCCCAGGATGCTCTTATATTCGAGATCTATAATTCTATAAAAATGAAGTCCCTGAATTCATCACAGTAACTTGAATTTTTCCTCTCCTATAAGCAACCGTCATTAATCAAGCAGCCCCTTCCAATAACCCAGAATATTTTATATGTTTATGATTAATTGTAATAGTCTCACGTAAGCCTTGTGATGGAGCCCTTAATAAGACACACTTACTATGATCCTGCTGTTACACACAGGGACACTAAGCAACGGTCACATTAAGGAACTTATCCAAAGCTCCAAAGCTATGAACTTACAAAGCTGGGCTTCCAACCTGTCTTTTTTTTAAAGACTTCTTTATCTAAATACCATAAGGGTGTATGCAACTTTCAAAACACGTTTGACTCAGCGTTTGGAGGTCAGCAATAAAAACAATAAAATGTTTTCTCCGGATCCATGCTCTTCTTTATCCATATTTTGGTGCCAAAAATTTGAAACTCAGCACCAGAGTGATGTGCATAATCTAAAGCATTCCAAGAAAAATTTTCAGCATGGAATTTTAGCCTGAACTTTTAAAAAAACATCTTCAGGCATTAAAGACCTATCCGTATCAGGAGAATACGTTCTAGGGAGCCACATCTTTATCAGCAATCTGAAGGTTTCCCCAACACTTAATTTTCTCTTTCCTCCTTCCTTCTGCCCTCATTAGCACCTCTGGGAGAAAGAGAAGGGGAAGTAGGCCTCAAATCAATCAAGTCACTAATGTGTAGAAGTGTGACTTTTTCAGGTATAAAGCCGCAATCACCAGCAGAAGTAATATTTAGAGCTGATCAGTGGAATTCGGCACTTCATTGCAATCCTTGGAAGAATGTTACAGAAGGTGTGGGATCGAGAGTTCTTACAGCCAAATAAAAATGGTGCAGGGGAAAGGTAGAGAAACCATCTAACTTGAGATGGGGCACAGGAAGTGAGGAAGGGTCTTTAGGCATCTCGATAATTCAGGACTACAATGGTGAGGTTCTCTGATGAAGGCCAACCTTTTCCAATGTACAGAGATCCATAGGATGGAAGATGTATTCTGCGTAGTCAGGATGCTGTTCCAATGGAACAGGCTTCTGGAATGCATCTGTCTATAAAAGAAAGAAAAGAGGCACACAGACACACACAAGCCCATCATTACTGAGGAAGACAAAACATTCACAGCAACAAAGTACTTTTCAAATGGAGACCACTTTTCAGAGAATCCAGTTCTATGGGTTTCCATAAAGAATGACCTCTTGGGGAGGGCCAGGCTGGTTCAAGTTCTAGTTCTGCCTGGTTATCAATAATCATGGGAGCGGTTTTTGATTTGAGATGCCTGCCTAGCTCGGTCAGTGGAGTATGTGACTCTTGACTTATAGGAGTTGTAAGTTTGAGCCCCACATTGGGTGTAGACATTACTTAAAAGTAAAAACTTGGAGCACCAGGATTGAGCAGTTGAGCATCGATTCTTGATTTTGGCTCAAGTCATGATCTCATGGTTCATGAGTTCGAACCCTACATCCAGCTCTGCGCTGGCGGTGCAGGGCCTGCTTGGGATTCCCTGCCTCTCCCCTGCTCATGTATGCAGTCTCTCTCTCTTCTCTCTCTCTCAAAATTAAAAATGTATATATTTAAAAATAAAATCCAGGGCGCCTGGGTGGCTCAGTCAGTTAAACATCTAACTTTGGCTCAGGTCATGATCTCACGGTTCACGAGTTCGAGCCCCTCGTCAGGCTCTGTGCCGACAGCTCAAAGCCTGGAGCCTGCTTCGGATCCAGTGTCTCCCTCTCTCTCTGCCCCTCTCCCGCTCATTCTCTCTCTCAAAAATAAACAAAAAATATTTTTTAAAAAAATAAAAATAACATCTTAAACTCTTAAAATCAATCTATCAACATCTAAAAGATTTAATGAGACACCCCATGATACTCAAGTGAGGCATCCGAAAGGCTATCCTGTGCTGGCAGGAGCACTCTTTTGCCCAGAAGGAAAGCGTGTGGCCATTCCAAGTTAAAAAGATGCTTTAGTATCATCAGCAACTTTCCACCCTGATTGATTTTATATCAAAATTTCTCACAATTTATGTGAGAAATTAATCCTTTCTTCGATTTTTCTTTTTGGTTTATAATTCTACAGTGTTGACAAGTCTACATGAATCTATTCTTTTTGTAAACAGTCCTCAGCAGATATCATTTAGCCTGTAAAAAAGCAGGAAGTAATTCCTTGCCGCTCAACATAAAAACGACTCTACAGTCCAAGGGGGGGGGGGGGGCGCCTTTGTTCCCAAACTGAGGCTATCCACGCTTTTGCTTCCATTGACAGAGATTTTGTTAAAGAGACAAGGGTACCCAATTTAGCAACATCCAATTGGCATGCTCTGAATTCTTGTCATGGTATCAAATTTCAGAATATAATCTCAAAACAAAAGCTTGGGGGCGCCTGGGGCTCAGTCAGTTGAGCATCCAACTTTGGGTCAGGTCATGATCTCACGGTTCGTGGATTTGAGCCCCCCGTCGGGCTCTGTGCTGACAGCCAGCTCAGAGCCTGGAGCCTGTTTCAGATTGTCTCCCTCTCTCTCTCTGAACCTCCCATGCTCATGCTGTCGCTGTCTGTCTGTCTCTCTCTCTCTCTCTCTCTCTCTCTCAGAAATAAATGAAAACGTTAAAAAAAAATTTTTTTTTTAAAGCTTGGGGATTTTTTTTATTTTTTGAAAGAAATTAAGCCACGGTGACTACACTCAATGCCCTGAGTTTCTACATGGCCGTGCATTCACTTGATGTAGAAGGCAGACTCTGGAGAGTTTAACAAAGGGTCACGACTAGCCCATATGGTGCCTTTGTGCAGATCAGAAAAGGAAAACCCTGCCCCCTCAAGTTTCTCTAAATTCGTCTGCACGAAAAAGGTCCTAACACGTCGATGATAAGGGCACAACGCACTTTAAAGAATGAAGCATTTTTTTGGGGCGCCTGGGTGGCTTAGTCGGTTAAGCGTCCGACTTTCGCTTAGGTCATGATCTTGCGGTTCGTGGGTTCGAGCCCCGCGTCGGGCTCTGTGCTGACTGCCGGCTCAGAGCCTGGAGCCTGTTTCAATCTGTGACTCCCTCTCTCTCTGACCCTCCCCTGCTCGCGCTGTCTCTCTCTCTCTCCTAGAAATAAATAAAACATTAAAAAAAAAAAAATTAAAAAAAAAAAAAAGAATGAAGCATTTTACCATGAACCAACTGAAGATGGTCACATAAAAAAGGAAAACCACCGTGGGCATGTATGACGTGACTGGGCCTGGGGGAAGTGTAAGCACCAGTAAACGGTGCGCCCGGCTAAACGTGGCACCCTTTTTACATCTGGGTCTCCTTTGGACAAAGGCTGTACATCAAATCCATTTCAAAATTGAGGCAATTTAACCAAATTCTCACCCATTATGGGAGTCGACGGGTTGAATTTTACTTGAAGGGTGCCTCATCAGACCTTGGCTCTCAACAAACTGGGCTGTACTGCGTGCTCTCACCGAAACGGAATTTTACAAACTCCCGTGGGAAGAAACCCAAGAGCTCCTTACCCAGTGGGGTATGGGCATGAGGCTTTGATTCGCAGCCAATCAGAATTCTAAATCCCCGCCAACTTTCTACTGTATGTCACTTTCCGATTACGCTCCCTGGGGACATAGAGTGCTAACTAGAGAGAACTGACCAACCGTCGTCATACCTCATATTTAATTTACGGGTATTTGAACTGGGCACCTAAGAAGGCCCAAAACACGCACAGGTGTCTGGAAAGCAAAAATCACCCAGAACAGGAATGTGAACATAAGATAACAAAAGACACCATTTCCCACTTATATCGAGAGGAACGTTCTTCTTACCCCTGGCTGTTTCATTTTCTGAATGGCAAATTTGAGCAGGTAGGAGAGCTGTTCAATGGTGAGCATAGTCATGGCTTTACTCTGAGTCTCGATGCATTCCGCTACCGTAATCTTCTACAAGCCAAAATTACACAGACGGCCGGTTAGAAAAAAGTTACTATCCCCACACATCGTTCCCTCTCCTCCCTTTTAGGTGTTCCAATAAGCACATTAAAAAAAAAAAAATTCCTTTCCATCCAAATGACACTGGCTGTTCTACTTGAGAAGGACCCCAATCTACTTGACCATATATGGGATCAGTAGATACAAATTAAGAGGCACATCAAACCACTGATGACCTTCTCTGGGAAGGGTTTTGAGCTCGTGAAGATGACATCATCGAAGAAAGATGGAGGTAGGCAGGGACCCAACCACCATCGGGATTACAACTGTAGGTTGTCAAGAAGGCAAGGTGAAGAGGAAAGGCTGCTAAGGGTTCTAGGGTGATCTCTACGCACAACAAAATCAGTCACTTAACTTGATCCGCTTAGGGTTCTGGGCTACCTTTCCGGAAGCTGACGAGGCATTATTCTCAATGACATCATGGGTGGAAAAGGGCAGTCTTCCCCCACAGAGAGAATCCAAGGGGTGGTGGGAGTGAATTAAACATAAATATGACTTCATTCTCTTGCCACCACGGATGTGAACCCACTCAGGACATTCTGGGCAAACTACGCAAGGCGCACAATCTCGCTCCCTGTCTCCATGGGAAATAATGTCATTCTGAAAGGGAAATTCCCATCAAAGAAGAGGCCCGGAGAAACGTCTGAAACCAAACTCCGCTGTGTAAATCTGGTGCCACATTCCGGAGCTTCAGGCTCCTTATGTAGCAACGACAACGAAAATAGCAAATTCTGATGATGTCAGGAAACACTCCTTAACCATCTGTGTAGGGAGAGCTGAGAAGAGTTTTCTTCAATTAATCTTGATTTAGTTTCCATCCTTCATATCTCTGGAGCCTCCAAAGGGAACTTTCAGACGTATCTGGTTGGTTGTCGAGAAAAAGGGCAACACGGAAGTTGCTCAGAAGCTGAAAACGGTACGTGACGCGTGTATCTAAGTGCTGAGCTCCAGGAGCCTGAAATGCTGAGTCTTTCCAGTTGACTGCGCTGGACATGCAGCCCAAGATCATTGACACAGACCACCTGCTTGCTGGAATTGCTGTGCGTTTCCACATAACTATCCATGGCAAACACGTTCACCCCTCCTCCGGCCCTGATCCTTTCTCTCCTGGCTGGCAGTGCCTGGTTCCCACAATACAAATGAAAAGTGCCAGACGGGCATTTTCAGAATGTTTTGTTGCACAAGGACTGATCCGATCCTGACCGATGAGGCCAAGAGCAAGTCAGCTGGAGGCCGAAGGGCAAAGTCCTTCTGCTTGATTTTAAAAGGGTTGAAAAGACAAACAGATCTCCCCTTAGAGAAGTTTTGTCCAGATGCAAGTGATAAAACAAAAACAAAAACAAAAACCCGGCAGTCATGCTCCGGCCACGAGGGACACAGCGCCTCTACGGCGAAACAGAAAGAGTCTGGCTGTGAACGAACTCTGGCCTGGCCCTGCCTCTGGGTTCTCTCTACGCAGGATAATAAATCCCAGTGTTTCCAGTCCGCATTCATCAAGGTCTACTATCTGCAGCAGAAGCCACTTTCGTTTATGAAAAATTGGTAGACAACTGGGAAGGAAGGGCCAAGACGCAAGAACACAGAGGAAGGCTCCGGTGCCCACCCCGAACGCAAGAGAACCAGGTCGAGCCCTGCAATAAGGGGACATGGCCGGGCAAAGCATGTCCGACAGGTGGCCCTGTCTTCCGGGACCCAAAGAGAGCCCGCCGCCACCTTTCACAACCTCAGGGGGCACAGCACCATGGAAAGGTCGTCGTCATATTGATCTGATGTCTAATTTCTTTTCAAACATTTATTTTTCTCCTTCCCCAACACAAAAGCCGTAGTAGGAAAGAAACTGTCCTACAGCATGCTTTCCGTCCTCCCTAAAGATCTCCTTGTTTGAGACCAAGCTCTAATACACCTTCGCACCCAAGCGACATTCCGTGTTGAATGGTTTTTTGCAGAAGACGTTGCTTGCAGTATTCTGAAAAAGCATCGGAAGTGCAAGTCGCCGAGAAAAGCAGCCACCTCGGGTCTGTGGAAACGGTCATAACGGTTTTAACGAAACGCGTTGCGGCTTTCCTGCCCAGATGCTCGTTCCTCGCCAGGCCCGAGGCTTCTGGGCCCTCAGCACCCTCCACTCGCCCGCGTGTCACTCTCCAAGCTCAGGGAGACCTTCCTGGGCCTCTTCACTTGACATGGAAACACCTCCACCCTTCCTGCTCCCCATCCGAACTCCTTGATTCCTTTCCCTTGGTTTCCGTCCTCTTTTCCTGAATAGCTGGTCATGCGGGCCCCTTCCAGGTCACTGCTGAATCCGAGCACCTAACGGGGACCGGAGAACAGCCGTGGCGTGTGTCAGAGCATCGGAGGACAACCACAGGCAGCACACGGCCACAGGTGGTCTTGTGGGCTCAGCCACGACCGACGAGTCCACCCCTCTAAGAAGAGGAGACTCCGCACGCGATCTTTCCAAGACGTGAGCCATTAACGGCTTATCACTTCACTTCCGAAATGTTTGTTATGGGGCAATCCAAGAGTGATCCAAAGACCCACAAAGAATCAAAACCAATACTCAATGCCGTCGTCTTTCCAGAAAGCCGCGGGGCCAAGGCCCCCGACCACGCTAGTCCCAAAAAGCAGGGTGACCAGCATAGAGCAAGTGGAACACAAGAGGTTTCTTTTCTTTTCTTTTTTTCCTCCGTATCTGGATGCTTTGAAAAATTTTTAAATCAAAGGAAGAAAGAGAAAGGAGAGGAAATGAGGCAGAGAATGCATTCATTCGTCAGGAACTAACCTCACATTCAGGACAAAACCAGTCCCCCTCTGGTTCCGATGTCAGTCTCAGACACTTAGCGTGATAAACCCGGGGACAGAGCTCACAGCAAAGGACTTGGCCTTCCCGGTGACAAACCCAGCAGTAGAAATCATTTCGTCCATCCTGCGGTACAACATCAACAGGGTCTGTGGTGAGTGGCTGCTTCATATAGTAAAACGGACCATGTCTTAGTTCTGACTGAAATGTAGGCAAGAAAGACAGGTTTGGTTTCAAAACAAATGTGCATTCTCAGAAGGGATTTGAACAAATACATCAATAACAACAAAAGAAATTCACAGCATTTCACACATTCATTAAAAAGCTATCTTGAGCTACTCTACACAATACAGAGTTTGCAGGTCATTCAATACTAAGATCTCTCTCTCTCTATTTCTATCTCTCTCTCTCTCTCCCCTCTATTTCAGAAGCCATAGATTATGGAAAAGCTGGTGTCTGAGGAGAGTTAACAACAGCTATGACCCAGGCACACCCGGGCTGAAAGTTCAGCTTTACCAGCTGCATGACCCTGGGCAAATCTCTTCCTCTCACAGCTTCAGTTTTCTCATCTGTAAAATGGGGATGATGATATCCAATTTCATGGTATTTTGGTAGGGATTAAACGAGAGGCTAGAACAAAGTATGCATTTAACAGATTGCTGCCATTACTGATACCACCAACAGTCGAGAACCAACAAATGAAGTCTAAACAAAGCCAACAAATGTGTGGATTCACCCTAGGATTCTTTCAACAGGCTTAGAACAGATCAACCGAATTTGAGTTATCCAAAAAAAGGGAGGGGGGGGAGTATTCATTTTTTTATGTTTAACTCCCAGTGCATACAGTATTAGAGCAGAGGCTTCCTGAAGCCATGATTCTTGAACATGGTAAAGGCCTCACAAGAAAGGTCTCCCTAGTAATAAGTTATGGAATCCAGGAAAGGCACACTCAGAACACGAAAGATCACTCAGAAGAAACTCACTGGGAAAATGTCTATTGGCAATTAGTAACCAATACGGTATTTCAGAAGTACTATGAGAAAGTCTGGTGGTGAGCATCAAAATGACCCCATCACGGCCTCCGTGACCTTCAGAAAGCTCCTCAAACCACTTGGAGCCTCGATTCCAGGGATAATAGCTCAGCCACAACCACAGTACCTATCTCTGAGAATAGGTACTATTTGTACCTATTTTTTTTCCCTCTTTGTCAGCCAAACAGTACAGTTCCCTCCACAAAGACCCCATATGCTGGTTAAAGCTGCATAATTTCTGTTGATTCTATGAATGGGATCTTTTTCTATTCTATTTTCTAAGTTGTTACGATTGGTATATAGAAATGCTGTTGGAGCTTTTTAATCCTGACCTTACAACCTCACATATAAATGGTTCTAACAGTTTATTGACAAAAATATTATCTCCTCTAAACAACATTGGTTTTGTCTGTTCATCTCTAGTATTTTTACACTACTTTTCTTTCTTAACTTAAATGGGCCCTTATTTCATCCTGGGACCCCCAGGATACTGGGAAAAGAGTTCTCAAGATTATAAGCAGTCATGCCTTGTTCCTTGGTTTTTATGATGAGATTTTGATGTTCTCAAAATGTCTATTTCTATACTCCTTGAAAAAGAACCTCCCAGAGGCATCCTTAGCAGATCTTTTTTAATCCATCCGTCTGAGCCTCCCTACTCTCATTCCTACTAAAAACCACCTACAATTTTTAAGGGCGACTGCGTAATATTTGAGCTCAGTTCCTTCCCTGGTTCGGTTCAGAGGCACTGCTCTACACTTGGGTTTCCGCAGAACACCGTCACACGATTCTCTCCAGACTGCACACTCCACACACTGTATCATACACGCTAGGTTCATTTTGTCCTTACAACCACCCAGAGAGGGACGCAGGACAGACACACTCTCACCGGACAGACGAGAAAACTAGGTTATTACAACTCCTCTGGCCCCTAGGCCAGATCAGGGGTGTCACGGCTCCCTCTCTCGCCCTGATTTCCTGTATAAGACGATGCCAGGTGAGGAGACCCTAATGATGAAGTGACCTCCTCACAGAACATTCTCTGTAGTTCAAACTCTGTAGTGGAGTTGTGGGATTGGTGGGGGGGGTGTCTAAAAGCCAGGAAAACTAGAAACACCACCGAAGGGGACAGGCAAGCAAAATGTCACCTACAGCGGGGGCTCGCGCTCTCACACTGCTGTCGTTCGGAGCCAGAAAATTCTTTGTGGGATGGAGCCGACCTGCGCACTACCGGATGCGTGGGAGCGTCCGTGGCTAGATGCCAGGAGCAGCCCCCGTCCACAAAAGTGTGAGGGTCAGAAAGGTCTCCAGATTGCCAAATGTCCTCGGGGGCAAAGCTGCCCTTAACTGAGAACCACTAAAGTCCAGGGTCTGCTATCTGCCTAGGAAACGGCCGTGTGCATGTAGGGCAGGCGAGTGGGGTGAAGGGGGCTCTGGGGGACAGGGGAGGGGAGGAGAAGCCTGCGGAAAGAAAGAAGAGGGAGGTGGGGAGCGGGAAGAGGGGAGAAGATTCTCATCCTGAAAGAGAAGCCTCACAGTCAAGCCAGCAGAACCCTCTCTAACCTGAGTGAGGTCTTCCAGAACGCCTCTGTGGCTTTTGCCACATAGCAGTAAAAGCCATTTCCTTTCAGCAAGTTAATAATAGGACAGGAAGAGTCAATCTACACGAAACTGGAAGGATCGAATAGGCCAGCTAATCTCCCTAACTGACAACCCAGGTCCTTCCTGCCTAGAAGCCCGGGACGGCCACTTGGGAAATCCCCCTCCCCATGTCCTCGCCCCCACCCCAACCCTGGCTGGGAATGGGTATTGGGGGGGGGGGGGGGGGCAGACTGCTCCAAAGTCTCTCCAGGCTATTCCCTCTTTCCAGAAGCTGCAGCCATATTGCCGAGAACGAACTTCCCGGTAATCTCAACCAGAACCAGATACCTCGACCAGATACCTCGTCTGCTTCTCAGGTTTCCTGCTCCATCCAAACAGGCTGGTAACAAATGCGGACACTTAAAAAAGGAAAAGCAAATCATTCCAGGTAAAAGGTGTCATGATTTTCTCCCTTGTGTATAACATGTGTGTTACCAGCCTGCTAGTAAGGTTGTAACCTGTGTTCTTCTAGGTAGCTGCAGGCCGTGTGAGCAAACGTGCTTCTTCCACAGGCTGATTTAACGAGAAAACAGACGGGCTCATACTCACTTCTCTAATACCTCAGTCTTACACTAGTAGCCCAAAATCTCTCCTAGAAAGGGTTCTGTAAAGAGAGTTAATGGCTGAGGCTGTGCAGGTCCTCCTGCGGTCTTGACCACAACTACTTAGGAACAGGAGCAGAAACGCAACCAGAGACAATATGCAAACGACCGAATGTGGCTGTGTGCCAATAAAACTTTATTTACAAAAACAGGCTCTGGGCAGCATCCGGCTCACAGCCTATAGTTAGTGGACACCTGGTCCTTGTAAAGCAGAAAATGGGCACTCCGGCTGTGTGGGAGGCCAGGGTACATGAGGTGAGAAATGGGGGGGGGCCCACAAACGCAAATCCCTACATGGAGCACAGAGGTAACACACGTAAGTGAAAGGGGTCCTTGTCCCAGCTTTTATTCTTCTGCATGTAAAGCACAAACAGCTCTCTAAGAAAAAAAACTGCCCAGCCCTGGAGCCTGAGGAATGTCACTGGCATTCCGCCTGGACGCTGACGAGACGACCCGAGGGGCAGAACTTGGCCCGTCTTAAGCGCAGCTCCAGTGACGAAGGCGGCGAGCAGACACACTCTCCCAGTGCCGCCCAAGGTTGCGGGAGAAGCCGGCGAGCCCACGACCCCCTCCCTGGTCGCAACTGTGAATACACTGCCCCGGCCCAACAAGGGACCTCCATGAGTATTTTTAAGTTTCTAAGACAATGCACGTATATACCCTGACCTCAGGGGCAGTGAAGAGGAACCCCATCTCTTTGCCACGGTTGATCAAAGATACACTCAATCTGTTAGCAGACTATTTCTCAATCCTTAATGATGGGGAGAAAAGAAAATAAAAATAAACATCCCCAAAAGGAGTCTTCAAAGTCAAACGTCCCAAGAGCTGAAAGAGTGGTATTTTGCGGTAAACGTCCTAATGTCATTGGAGGGAAGATGTGTCGTGAGCCATCTACTACAGGAAACCTCGCCTTCTTCCACCAGATGCCAGGAGCATCCCTGCAGGCTTTGGGGTGTCTCTGCTCACCCCAGTCCCAAGAAAAAGCACCTGCATGTTTTCAAACCATTCCTACAGGGCAAAACCACTGGACCAAAGAGCTATAAAAAAATTAATCGTAAGCCTTACGTACTTTTCCCCCTAAAACTAAAGTGTGTTTTAAAGTTCCTCGCACAGGGGCGCCTGGGTGGCTCAGTCGGTTAAATGTCCGGCTTCGGCTCACGTCATGATCTCACGGTTCGTGGGTTCGAGCCCCATGTCGGGCTCTGTGCTGACAGCCAGCTCAGAAACTACAGCCTGTTTTGGATTCTGTGTCTCCCTGTCTCTCTGCCCCTCCCCTGCTCATGCTGTCTCTCCCTCTCTTTCTCTCAGAAATAAAAAACATTAAGTGAAACAGGGTCCAACCTTAAAACTTCAACCCCCATTTCCACTTGGTAATAAAAGGTGTCTACCAAAAATGGAACAATATGGGGGAGGGGGCGGGTTGTTTTTGTAACACCAGAGAGGTTTTCTTTTTTTGAAAACGGAAAAGTAGAAAAAGAAGAGAGGATGGGGCGAAGAAGCCTGACATATGCCAAAAATCAAAAGCACCTGAACGCTTACGAGAACCAGAGGCAGGAGGAATGAGCAAAGCAAGCCAGGTAGGACACTGCAGGGAGGGGTAGGGAGTGTGGAAAACTACAGCCCACAGGCCCTGAGTCTAAAGGAGCAGACTCTACTCCGCTCCAGCTGTTGCTGGATTTTTCTGAGTTTTTATAAGAACCCAAAAATACAAGTTGTTATTTGAAATCTCATGATCTTCAAATGTTGGGTGACTAAGAAATTATATTATTGGTAAAATCCTAGCACTTGCAGCCCTACAATTTGCCTTTAATTCCATAATTCTGTAATGCTCTAAAATTCTAAAAGGAAGAAAGAGGCAAGGGAAAGTGTCCAGAAGAATTTTTTTTTTTAAAGAGACTGAAGTTTCCCTTAAGGAAAACCAGACTGTGCCTGAGGGAGGCTGTCGCTACTATGCAAATATCATATGCTAGAATGAATGATGGGGTCGAGGTTCAGGAATTTCATTTCTTTACAGTTAAGCCCGTTTCTCTTTTTGCCAACTTCTGGCTGTTTGGCCCCAGGGAGTTTCAGATCTGAAAAATCTACCATCAGCCTTCTATGGTTACCAGTCCACACCCCTGTTACAAGGTAAACCGAGGCTGAAAGCTAGAACGGCAACTGACAAGGGGCACAGGGAGCTTCCCGGATGCAGTGAGGCTAGGAGTCCGATCTCCAGGTCAGGACACTTCCTTTGTGCACCGGTCCCGGAAACTTGTCTATCAATACTGAAGATTATAGATTCTTCAGGAACAGAACCGTGTCCTGGTCCAGCTCCTCAGGGCGTCCTCTTTTCTACATCCAGAGAGCACGCTGTAAACACAAGCCTCCACCCTGTGGCCACTTCTGAGGCTGCTAGTCCAGAGGGGACACGGACCGACACACATGGCATTGTAGTCACAGGCCTCACACGTTAGGGAAACGGGACCCATGGATGGGGAAGGGAGAGAAGAAAACGTGCAGACTGGCCAAGCCGATCAGCTTCCAGAGAGTTACGAGCCAGTGCCTTAAAACACAGGTAGGAACTTAAAGTGTGATGCATGTGTGCACGCCCAGGGAGAGACCGAAAGAGAAGGCTTTCTGCACAGAGGGGACGGTATTGGCCTCGGGTCGCCTGGTACCTGATAAGACAGGGTTTGCCCAGAAAGTCAAATTACTAGCTGGGTTAAGGTTTGGGGACTATCTGTAGTTTTCGGGTTTCTCTCTTAGTCTTTGCTCCCAGCAGCCATGGGACGGCTCCTGGGTGACAAGAGATGGAAGTCACGGCTTCAAGCTAGACAAGCCAGGTCTGAGCTCGAATGCAGCTTCTAATTTGCTCAGAGGCCGCGAGGAGACAACTTAACCTCTCTGAACCTCAATGTTTTCATCTGTAGAATGGAGATAATTACAGCCCTTTCTCACTAGATGATTATAAACATTAACACAGAAAAATGCTTACAACAGGGAGTGAGTCAACACTGCTTTTATTATTATGACTGCCAACAGTGGTGTGTATTTTTCAATCCCCCTAAAAATGTATTTAGGACCCATCTGTTTCCTCTATTTGAACGGGATTCCCAACTCATTAGGCCTGCACTATCCAAGCTGTGGCTATAAGCCACAGGCAGCTACTTACATTAAAATTAAATTAGAGGGGCGCCTGGGTGGCTCAGATGGTTAAGCGTACGACTTTGGCTCAGGTCATGATCTCACAGTTTGTGAGTTCGAGCCCCACGTCGAGCTCTGTGCTGACAGCTCGGAGCCTGGAGCCTGCTTTGGATTCTGCATCTCCCTCTCTCCCTGTCCCTCCCCCACTCATGCTCTCTCTCTCTCTCAGAAATAAATAAACACTAAAAATTTTTTTTTAATTAAACTAGATTAAAAATTCAGGGCACCCAAGAAACAGACTCTTAACTACAGAGCATGAACCTCTGGTTAGCAGAGGGGCGGTGGGTGGGGGGTGGGGATTAAGAAGGGCGCTTGTGATAAGCACCGGGTGCAGTATGAAGTGCTGAATCACTAGAACGTACACCTGAAACTAATATTACACTGTACGTAAACTAACCGAAATTTAAAAAAGAATTCAGTTTAAAAAAAAAAAAAATCAGTCCCCGGGTCACATTTGCCATTTGCAGGTGCTCAATGGCCACACGTGGCTTGTGGCGACCATACTGAACAGCCCTGTTCTAGAACACTTCTACAGCTGTCATTTCTCTACTTCACACGTGGTCTGTGTGGCTGTTCCACTTAGCGTCGGGCCTGGCTTAATTTTTATGATCACATTTGCCTCAGTTAGCTCAGTTCATCACAACGACCCCCTGTGATCAGTAGTGGGGCTGTCGCTCCCATCAGCAGATGGGAAAACTAGGTACAAAGAGGTTAACTTGCCCACAGCCACACGGCAGAGGCAGAGCTGGCATTTCGGTATGTAATTTTGAGAATGGAAATAGATTCGCATGCAGAAATGCACCCCTCTCCCCACTCTGGGCATTTAACCGTTGCTGGGTTTCTTCCCACGAAAGCAACAACCTTGTCTTGTTCAGCCTCCGATCCCAGGGCCACGTCCGCACTCCACAGTGCCCAAGACGGATGAATATGTCCAAGGAACCCCTGCTGGGACATCCCCACTGGGACATCATACTGTTTCCTCCAACGCTGGGAGACTGGACCCCAGGGTCCACGAAAGCAGCTCCCTTTTTTTGTTTTTTGGTTTTTTGTTTCATCAGAAGACTATCTAGCCTGCATCCGAGAATTTTAAAACTAGGTTTGATAAGATCCAAGATGGCTCATGGATATTTCTATCTGGTTGACAGGTCCTGGCTGCAGGAGGAGGGTGGGGTCTAGAAAAGACTCGTGCCACCCAGGGTCGAGGCCACGAGACCAAGGGGTGACCAGTCACCAAAGTGGACAGTGGACACCAGGCAGACACAGGAGCTGTCTTACCACAGAGCCACACCCGTCATTTTACAGATGAGAAAGCTGAGACCAGGAGGGAGCCTGCCTTCACCACGCCACCACCTCCAGGCTGAGCTCAGAACCATCCTACTGGCCTGGCCTGGCGGGGAAAACACCCTCGGGCCCCACGGGGAAACAGCCCTAGGGCATTAAATCCAAGGAACCCCCCCCCATCCTAAAGCATGGTATTCTTCATCTCATCTGGGTCACTGCCCTGTCCCCAAAACAGATCTGAAAAGCTAACAGAAACTGCTACACAGACCCATCCTGAGCTGTCGTACTGGTCCTATGCAAGGACAGCTGCTCAAGGCAGCCTGCTAACTGCCAAGAACAGCGGCCGTCAGAACCCCCTGGAAAGCTGCGGCGCGTCCCACCGGCCCTTTACCTGCTCCTTATTGTTATTGTTCAGTAAGCCGGGTTTCTTTTTCTTTTTAATGGGGCTTGTTGACGTGTCCTGTGGCGAGTGGCCATTAGAAGAATGCGGAGGGCTGGGGAACTTTCTTTTCTGGGCCGTTCTCTCTGTGGAGCCAGGATCTGAAAGAGACACGCAGGACCACATATTTTAAAGCAGTCAGGGAGGCCTAGCCCCCACGGGGGTTGGGGGGGGGGGCGGACACGAGGCATTTTGTCCCCAGGCCCAATGCCATTTTAGTGTTCCTCCTCCAGGTATACACTTACCCCGGCTCTTCAGTTAAGGGACTCAAAGGTCAGACCGGTTTTCTTCAGCCTACGTACCCTTTTTGTTAACAATTTAAATCGCTGCCAAAATATAAAATCGAGAAACTTCACATAATAACCTAGGTTTGGGGCTTCTCTTAAAAAACAAAAAGCAGATCAGGGCCTGGTACCACCAGACGGATCTGAATCCCTGCAGGCCACTTTTAGTCGGAAATGTGCTCTCCCTTTGGCCGAAGTCCCCACCCTTCTCTACTGAGTCCCAGTAGACCAGGCCACGCCCCAGGTGCCCTCCCCTCATCCCAAAGAAAGAGGTCTTCTTGTGATGCCAACGGCAGAAATCCACGGAGGAGAGACCGAGGCCACACACTGCAAGAAACCGAAGGCGCACGCGCTTCTGTGTGGAAGACGATGACATTTATTGTGTCGTGCCTACTGCTCTCCTCTGAAGAGATCGACATCTGTGACACGCTCGCTGACTGTCATCTGAGCCAGGCCAGTCCTGTCCATTTCTGCTCTCGCAGCATCTCATTTAAACACAGATGCGTCCACCGCCACCCGATCTTCACCTGCAAGGCCTTGGCTCCACCCACGCCCGACGGCGGTCTCGTGAGCGTAGGGGCGAAACAGTGGCACAGTGTGACGCGCCTGGACACTCCGAGACAGAAGTTACAGGCAGGAGGGGAGGAGCTGCGTGAGAGCAGAGGTGACGGGGTGGGATGTGGGACCCAGAAGGGCGACTATCGCCAGAGGTAACCTGACGACACCCCCCCTCCAGCTTTAAGGTGCAGGCGAGCCCGAGCACGCCGGCCACACTGTGCGGCACCGACCTCTGAGCGTTGACAGGGGCCACTGGGGCAGGTGACCATGGTGCAGGACGGACACAAGCAAGGCATGGGGCGGGGGGGCCTCCATTCAAATGAAAGGCAGACAGAGCATCTTCCAGCAGGTTCGTTAAAGGAAGACAGTGAACTACTTTCACAAAATCCAGTCCATAGGATGGAACTCTCCATTCTCACCGGGCAACTGCAGGAAAATCCTGAACACGCGTTCGGGGTGCTGTGCGGACACACAGCCCCGCGAGGAAATTAACTGCTAACCACAGGCACCTGGAGGGAGAACAGACCCCAGAGCTTGGAGGACCATCCCACAGACATCAAGACAGAGGCCCAGAGAGGGCCAAAGGGTTGGCCCAGAGGCACAGCACAGTCAGTTAGCGGGAAAACCCACCAAAAAGGGGCAACCTGGGACTGGCGTTCCCCCAGAGGGAACCTTCGGTCTCTGAGGCCCAGGACCCCCAGCCCACTCCACCCTCGTACGTAAAGAGTCTCTCACCTTCCCCACCTAGTCTTTGCCTCAACGATCTCCTCCTAGAAGCACATTTGACAATCACAGGAAGCAAAGCACGCACGAGAAAATTCAACTGAGAGGAACAGGTTGTTGCACCCAAGCTGGAAATGACTTAAATGTCCACAAATTAAGGACAGGTCTAATAGCATACAAAAAGCCATATAGTGCAATGTCTTTTTTTTTTTTTAAACATGTAATCTCTATATCCAACGTAGGGCTTGAACTCATGACAGAGATCAGGAGTCGTATGCTTTTGAACCAGCCAGGCATCTCTCATACAGTGGAATATTCTGCAGCCCTTAAGAAGGCGGCGGCACCTCAGGCGCATGGGTGGCTCAGTCGGTTGAGTGTCCGGCTTCGGCTCACGTCACGATCTCACAGTTTGTGGGTTCGTGCCCCGCATCGGGCTCTGTGCTGATAGCTCAGAGCCTGGAGCCTGCTTCCGATTCTGTGTCTCCCTCTCTCTCTGTCCCTCCCCCACTCCCGCTCGGAGTCTCTGTCTCAAAAATAAATAAAAATGTTTAAAAAAAAATTTTTTTAAGAAGACAACCCCTCTACACAAATGGATGCATGACTATATCCAAGCTTCTGCATCAAGTTAAAAAAGCAGCACATACCTAAGCACCATTAATAGACACACACCCCAAAAAAGATGCCATACATCTAAGTTTGCACAAGCCTAGAACATTCTGGATGAACACAAAAGTACTACAGAGCAGGAAACTGGAACTAGAGGTTGCCTCAGGGAAGGAAAACATTCAGGGCGTGGGGGACGGATTATTTTTCACGGTGTGCCCTTGTGTACTTCATTTATCATGAGCGGAGACCATCAAAATAAAACTTAAACGGAGGTATTCGGGAGATCTGGTTTCACATAAAAAAGCAGCAGGTGCAAACCACAGCCAGTAATGAGCAAATGACGACAGCCCGATTCAGGATTTAAAAAGTCACCAGATTGGTCCCAACTGTGTCTATCAGCAGAGGCGCAGAGGGACCACAGGGAGGAGCCTGGGGTTTGCTGAACGAGGATCTGATAAACCCAAATAACCCTGTTCAACCGTCAGAGTGTGTGCATGTTTAGGAAAGGTGTTTTGGGGCCCCAAGGAGATGGCACCATGGTCAGGCCAAAATTGAAAGCAATTAGGCAAAGCTTCGGGTATTTGGGATGTTTTGTTTCGTGTGTGGGTAGATTTTTTTTTTTTTTTAACATTTATCCTTGAGAGACAGAATGCGAGCGGGGGAAAGGGGGGAGAGAAGCGGGGGGAAAGAGAGAGAGAGAGAGAGACAGAGAGACAGAGAGAGAGAGAGAGAGAGAGAGAGAGAGAGAATCCCAAGCAGGCTCCAGGCTCTGAG